GGGGGGGGGCATGTCCAGCCTTTAGGGTGAAGGGGATGAGGCCCAGCTGCTGGAATCCTAACTCTGGTTGATCTGCATTCCAGAAAGCAGAACCTTTGGGGATGGTTAGGGGAGGGTATAGAAACTGGGCACTCCAGAGAAGGAAGGGGGTGTCCTCCAGGGGCTCCATTTTAGGGGTTCCCTGGTGACCCGCTGTGGCCTACCCAGTGGCTTCCCAGGCATGTGAGCGTAGAGATGTTTTCCATGAGATCCCCTTCTTTAAACAATTCTAAATGTAGTTGTGGAGATAAGACAAACATACAAAACAATTTTGGAACAATTAAGCACCAAACAGTATGGTCTTAATTATAAACGCAGGCGGCCTTCTTGGAGGGGAGAGATGAGTGTGGACCAGAGTGGCCTGAGAAGGCTTTGTCAGGAATGCTGAAGGGTCAAGAGGTAGGGCTTGGGAGGGTTTAGATGAGAAGCTATGAGCAAGGGAAAGGGACAGCAGTGGTACAGGCTTGTCCTAGGGTATGGCTGGAGAGGCCAACCCATCCTGGCCTCCTTCCTTGTGGTGTCCCCAATCCAGGCAAAGGGGACATTTGGGTGCTACAGAGAGTGGCTCTCCAACCAGCAGCAGTCCCTAGGAACTTCTTACAAATGCAAATTCTCAGGCTCCAGCCTAGACCTACTGAGTCAGACACAGGGGGTGGGGTGGGGACACCAATCTGTTTTAGGGAACGCTCGGGGATTGGATGTATGGGAAGATTTGAGAACCACCCCAGTGGCCCCAGCTGTGTAAAGAGGAGCCCTAGGCTGAGTGGCAGGAGAAGGCTAGTCTCACTTCCACTGTGTAACCTTGGATGAGCCCCTCCTCTCTCTGTCTATTCTTTGACCTGAGGCCCCTGGTCATTCCTTCAACAAATACTTACGAACAGGTACCATTCTAGGCTCTGGGCTTGCAGTGGTGGAAAAACAGAAATTCCTAACCCAGCTAAGTTTGCATTCTGGTCTATAAGTGAAACTGGAGTCAGATGGTGTAGGAGTCACAGGTCCCTTAGCTCCCTAGTGGGCATCACTGTGCACGTGGGCCCTAAGAAGCCCTAGAAGAGAGAAACACATTTACTTTTATTAATTTCCTCAACTTATTTAATTGCAAAATTTCTGATGGCCTGCCCCCTTCCCTGCCACTCACTTATTCATATCCTGTGTTGTCCAGAACACATTTCCAGAGGTGTTGGCCACAGGCGGCTCTTGATGGGCAGATGAGCAGGTTTTCTGGACTTGGAGATGAAAGGTCTCCTCTGTGAAGGCAGGTGTCCCATCCTGAGCTGACTGGGAGGAAAGGAGGGAGGAGGATAGTGGGGCGGCTCTGAGTGAGGGAGCTGGGTGCCTCTCCACCATGTGTGCTGGTCTGGCGGGAGGGAGGGGGCGGAGCTGACTGCAGATGTGCTCCCGCCCCAGCCTGCCCTGGCCATGGCTATGCTGCTGACTCCTGAGCAGGCTGAGGCTGCCCTGAGCCGAGGCCCAGGACACCACCAGCCCTTGTGCCCTTCTGGAGACTAGAGGTTGCCCCTCCTGGAAGGCAGAAGCCTTGGTGAGCAGATGTGAAATGGGAACAGCACCTCTCCCTCTGGCTGACATGAGGACTTGGCTTTTGAAGGAACCAGGGCCAGATTTCAGGCCTCCCTCTGCACTGGCCGGAGCGCCGTGTAGGCATGTGCAGGCCTGTCCGGGACAGCAAGATGGGATACTATTCTTGAGTAACTAGCTGGTATTGGCTGTCATTCTTGAGATTTTCTCACCATCCTCTGTTGACCACATGACACCAGCTGGCACCCAGGATCTGGGGTGTGGACTCCCAGCCCTGCCTCTGATGCCAGCTGCTTTGCCCTTTCTCACCCTCAGTGTCCTCACCTGTAGAAGGTTTTCCCAAGGAGCCTGAGAGCAGATGAATGCAGGCTGGTGGAAGAGGCAGGGTGGGGGCCTAGGACTGTCTTCTCAAAGCTCTGATGTTTCCACTTTTAGCTTAGGAACTCATGCATTCAACCCCAGAATTCAACCCCAGAATTCATTCCTGACTTTGAATTTTAAGATGGAGGGGATTTGGCTTTCCAGGAAACTGTGCTGCTTGCTGCCCCTTGGTCTCTGAGGCTCTCCTTTGCATGGGGATGGGACAGAGAGGGAGCAGAGTTGGGGAGGCTGCGGAGGCCAGGAGGCAGAGCAGCCTGAGGTGGAAGGGAGATGTCCAGGTGGGGAGCAGGTGGAAGAGCCCGAGATGGACGGTGCACGCCAGGGAGGGGCCACTGTGGCTGGGCGGTGGGCCCAGAACCGGCCTGACTCCCCAAGGCTGCGAGGGGCAGGACCAGACGCCCAGACCCTGGCCCTCTTAGGAGGGCAACCAGCGCATGTGGGAGAGAGGTCCTTTGTGCAGCTCCAGCCCTGACTCCCAGAGGGGTCTTGGCCCCTTCACTCCTCCCCTTTATGTTGCCTTTTCCTCAGGGCAAAAGGGTTGGCTTCTTTGCTTGTTGTGTCAGAGCAGCCAGGCCCCAACATGCAACATCATTCCCAACACATGGCCTGCGATAACAGAGGAATTTGCATTTTGTCTGAACTTAGCTGGTTGTTGCCCCCTAGCCTTTATTCTTCCCTCCCCCCAGTCCCCTTGCAGAACCCTCCTGCCTCCATAGCCTCCATGGCCTCCATAGCCTCCATGGCCTCCATGGCCTCCACAGCCTCCACAGCCTCCACAGCCCAGTGCTGCCTGCCTCCCCTCTGGGACCCGCAGGAGCAGTCTCTGGTGCCCTGGCTCTCATGGCTGTGGTAAAGGTTNTCTGATGCCAGCTGCTTTGCCCTTTCTCACCCTCAGTGTCCTCACCTGTAGAAGGTTTTCCCAAGGAGCCTGAGAGCAGATGAATGCAGGCTGGTGGAAGAGGCAGGGTGGGGGCCTAGGACTGTCTTCTCAAAGCTCTGATGTTTCCACTTTTAGCTTAGGAACTCATGCATTCAACCCCAGAATTCAACCCCAGAATTCATTCCTGACTTTGAATTTTAAGATGGAGGGGATTTGGCTTTCCAGGAAACTGTGCTGCTTGCTGCCCCTTGGTCTCTGAGGCTCTCCTTTGCATGGGGATGGGACAGAGAGGGAGCAGAGTTGGGGAGGCTGCGGAGGCCAGGAGGCAGAGCAGCCTGAGGTGGAAGGGAGATGTCCAGGTGGGGAGCAGGTGGAAGAGCCCGAGATGGACGGTGCACGCCAGGGAGGGGCCACTGTGGCTGGGCGGTGGGCCCAGAACCGGCCTGACTCCCCAAGGCTGCGAGGGGCAGGACCAGACGCCCAGACCCTGGCCCTCTTAGGAGGGCAACCAGCGCATGTGGGAGAGAGGTCCTTTGTGCAGCTCCAGCCCTGACTCCCAGAGGGGTCTTGGCCCCTTCACTCCTCCCCTTTATGTTGCCTTTTCCTCAGGGCAAAAGGGTTGGCTTCTTTGCTTGTTGTGTCAGAGCAGCCAGGCCCCAACATGCAACATCATTCCCAACACATGGCCTGCGATAACAGAGGAATTTGCATTTTGTCTGAACTTAGCTGGTTGTTGCCCCCTAGCCTTTATTCTTCCCTCCCCCCAGTCCCCTTGCAGAACCCTCCTGCCTCCATAGCCTCCATGGCCTCCATAGCCTCCATGGCCTCCATGGCCTCCACAGCCTCCACAGCCTCCACAGCCCAGTGCTGCCTGCCTCCCCTCTGGGACCCGCAGGAGCAGTCTCTGGTGCCCTGGCTCTCATGGCTGTGGTAAAGGTTCCCATGGAGGGGGATGGGGGAAGGGGGAGGGCGCCTGGCCATCGAAGGTGGAGAGCCCTCTGGTGTTGGGCCTGGGAACAGCCGGCCTTGGCGCCCGCTGGGTGTGCTGGCCCAGGGCTTCAGCGCTGGCTCCTCCCCTGGTGCTTCTCCTTCCCACAGGCTGGCCTGGGCCTCCCCGGCGACTCGGCTGTATTGGTGCTGCCGCCTACCCCGGGCTCCCATCCCTCTAGCCCCAGACTCAGGTACCTGCGGGCCCTGGAGGGTGGGTAGGATCTTGGAGGGCTACAAGGGACAGGAGACAGACTGGCTCCCGGAGAGGGATGGGGGTTCCCCGCTCCCTAAGCCCAGGCGACTTCCCTCTAACCCCCAGAATCCTGTCCCTCTGAGACACCTATTCCCTGCCCCCATGCTCATCCTGACACCCAGACCAGACCCTCACTCCTGGCCGCCTCCTATCCCCCCAGAGTGGACTCAGAAAGGGGAAGCCATCCCTTGGCAGAGAACTCAGAAGTCTTCAAGATGCTGCAGGAAAATCGTGAGGGGCGGGTGGCCCCCCGGCAGTCCAGCTCCTTTAGACTCCTGCAGGAAGCCCTGGAGGCAGAGGAGAGAAGTGAGACTGGGGCAGGGGTGGGGGCGCTATGGTGGCCGTGGTGGTGGTTCGGGTAAGGGAAGGGGATTCCCCAGGACACCCCTGGACCCTGAACTAGCTAGTGATCCTTAAGTGCTCACCAGGGGGGTAGGCACCAAGAGGTACTGAAACCACAGGCCCTGCGCTGAAGGAGCGAGCTGGGATCAGGAAACTACCAAGGGAACAATAGCGGTGGGCGGTGGGGTCTCCAGGGAGGGCTTCGTGGAGGAAGAGGGATTTGATGTGGCCCTTAAAGATGATGCCTTTACCAAACAACCTTCAGATGGTGGCAGGCTAACTTTGGAATGTGGAGACTGGCAGCCGGAGGGCTTTTGGGTGTGGGAGCAGAGGCCAGCGGGTCTGGCTGGGGGAGGGTGGCTTAGGAGAGGCCTAACCCAGGAAGGCCAGTTAAATAGTGCCTGAGATGCCGAAGTGAGCAATACAGATGATTCTGGCTCTTGTCAAACGTTTACTGTGCTCCCGATGGACCAGCCATGTGCAGTGTGGAGAGGAGAGGGGGTCAGGACCCATGTCTGTCCATAAGGAACTCTCTTTATTGGGGCTGACAGGCCTGCTTAGCTCCCAAGGAGCTGCACACTGCTGTAGGAGTTCTTGTGCTGGGGGAGGGGAGGACCACTGCCCTGCTTCAGGGGAGAGATGGGGAGGGCCTGGCCCAGGGAATGGCATCAGGGAGTTAGAGGATGGGATGGCCGGGAGAAGTATGTGAGTGACAGGATCACTAGAACCTGGTAGCTGGTTCCAACTTGGATGTCTGTCTCCTAGGGGTGTTCACAGAGGCAGGGGTTGGGGTGGGAGGGTTTGGAGACAGTTTTGTCCACCATGACACTGAGGGGGGACCAGGAAGAGGCAGTGGGGTGAGGAGAGTGCATACAAATGGCGACATCACCACTGGAGTCTCCGTGGTGTCAGCTGCAAATGGGGACCTTACCTGCCTTATCTTCAACTGAGCGTGGTCCAAGGCTCAGAGGCAATAATGCACATAAGAGCCCTTTGAAAACTGTACAAAGGTACCGTGGTGCTGTTACCTATTATTACTGTCCATTAATATCATGATTGGGCCATGTGAAGGGAAATGTCTGCCTGGCCTGCTGTGTCAGACACCGAACACAGATGCTCCCAGCTTGTTGCCTTAGCTCGGACAAACCCAGCCTCCAGCGTGCTTCCTGCACTTGCCCAGCCTCAGCCGAGGATCTGGCATTCCCCACGCTCACACCCAGTGCTACCCCAGAGGCCCGCCTGCGGGTGTGAGCGGCCTGCGGGCTGTTGGAGCAGGTGGCATGGGCGTAAATAATCAGCCTGCTGATGCTGCTGCTGCTGCGGTGGACGAGCTCTGATGTGTCTGTCTGCCTTCACCCCCCCCAGGTGGCACACCTGCCTTCCTGCCCAGCTCGCTGAGCCCCCAGTCCTCCCTGCCCACCCCCAGGGCCCTGGCCATGCCACCCAAGCTCCACATGTGTGAGAAGTGCAGCACCAGCATTGCGTGAGTGTTGGCAGCCAGGGAGGCAGGGTGGGGGGCAGGGCACAGGGTGCTCCCCAGAAGGACCTGAATAGGACAACCAGTCAGGGGCTCTGGATGGGCGTACTGACCAAGTGAATCCATGAGACATCCTATGGGCCATTGTCAGCCTTCTTAGAAGGCCTGCACTGGCTTCGTCCTGCCGCATCCCCCTCCTCCCCGATTTCTTTTCACCCTCCCGGTGGAGTAAGACATGCTCCTGCTTTTGATTTCTCTCCAATAATCTCTCAGCCTCTGGAGATCTGCCTCTAGATGAGGTGCCTCCTCCTGGAAAATCTTGCTCTTTCCTTCCTGTACCTCTGTTGGAACAGGATGAGTTTACCAGAAGTAGGTTCATTTTTCTCAGTAGGTGGCATTACATTGTAGCCACATTCTCTGGAAAACTGCTGAAAGGCTCCCCTGGAGAAAGTCCCTCAATGCACAGTGCAAGGGGGAGAGGACTCATACTAGGCAAATCCCTTCGCTCCCTGGGCCTCAGCATTCCATCTGCAGAATGGGAGACTCCCCCTGCAGCGCTGACAGAGGGAATGTGTCCTACTGGGAGACTCTCAAAGAGCAGCAGCGGAGCCCCTGGGCTTGTTGGAACACTCCTGGGCCCGCACCCTTAGTTTCCTCTTCAGAGGGCCCTGGCCCCAGAGTGTGCATTTCCAGCTCATCCCCAGGTGATGTGATGCTGCTGGTCCTGGCTCCTGGGACCATGCTTTGAGAACCACTGCTCCATTAACAATCCAGAAGATTCCGGATGGACTTTATCTGCCTTTGGGGGGGGGGGG